TGGTAATGAGTTTGATATGTTACAGCTTTTGAGATAGGAAATTAATAATTTAAAGAAGACTGTCTTCTGGGATGTTACATTGTGTAGTCTTGTAAAAGTTTACCAAAATTTCAGAGGTACTTACTGCCTCTACCATCATGGCATCAGTCAATTTCTACAAGGCTACATGGTACAACATCCCTGAATACAGCTGTCTCCATACCTACCACCACGAGAACCTGAAATCTCATTAATTTCACATTGCAAAATATTTCAGAATAAATTTATAAATTAAATCCTTTTAATTAATCTTTCTACATGGCTAAGCAGTTTACTGGAATATTTTATAATGGAAAGACATATTACTAAAATTCCACAAAGAAAAATAAATAGTAGTAGTTCTTGTTGTTTCTGTTTATTAGAAAGCTGTGTGTACAGTGTATAACACACAGTGAGCCTGATCTTCACTGTTTGTCTCTACAACAGCATATACAGAACTGACAACTCATTAATCACCAATTACTGACATCAATTATCTATTAAAATGTAGTTCTATGTGTCAACCACTGCTGGGAAAATTATTGTACTAGGTGTTAATTCCAGTGTAATGGTAATCTCTTTTGAGAGTTGCAATGTGTTTGTGATCAGTTCTGTTAAATTATATATGTCAAGGAATTAATTTGTACTTACTTCACAAATTATCGTGTACTTACAAATATAGTTCTACGGAATTCCTCAACACAGCACCGAGTCTCACAAGATTACCAACACTGTGTGTGGTACACTCTGTACATGGGACTACATGCAAGTAATCAAACCTATCTAAGTAATTATTTAAATTTAAAAAGACCATTCTGAATTCAACTTCATAGTTGCCAGGTTTTTCCAGTAAAAACTTCCATTTATTTCATACTATAAAAGATATATTTTTAATCACATAACTGCAACTGTTAGGTCAACATTTGTAAAAGGGCACAGTCGATTACTTATGAATACTATATGTGAACAGATAACCCAGTGTAAAATAACATTTCTGAATTCATGTAAGCATGCTTGCAGCACTTTGTCAATAGTTTGTCTCAGACTTTAATCATGTCATGTAACACTACAATTTTCATAGAATTTGTTAATAAGCTTATAAATATGTCATATAAAGACTTTTCTTTAGAAACAGTTCCACAGAATCAATGTTCAAATTTCTTACCTTCTCTGGCTCTGGCTCAATTTTCTTTTCTTCTTTCTTTTCTACCTTCTTTTCTTCTTTTTTCTGAAAATAAGACAGGCAAATTTTTTTCTTTCTATGTGAAGCAGGAATATTATAAATTACAATTTAATTATTAATAATAACCTCCTGGTAGACAACTAAAGCCTTGTACAGAAATATTAACAATAATTCATAATTTCCTCATTATTAATACATATTTATAACAATGAAGAACTGTACCAACTTGAAGTAATACAAAAACATGGATAAGTTTACACAAGAACACTGGGTATTCTTATACGAATTTTACGTGAAGTGTATCTCTGGTAAGGCCAGAGGAAATTCAGCATAAAATTTCCAAGGGTTTGAGTTCCCACCAGACACACTATCATAATCTTATCAATAATGTAAGAACTAGTATGTTGATGGAACTCCAAAATATCAGTTTTAAGTAGTAACTGAAGGAAAATAAGATGAAATCAAGATCAGCTTGAACATTTACCTCATAAGTTACTTAAAACATCTTGTAAAGAATGTTATTTTGAAAGTACTATAACCACTAAGACTTTGGTTATCTTATAAAAGAAACTGTAATCAGTATGTTTTACTCAATACAATGACTGGCTATGAATTAGATGATGCAGAATACTGAAGACTATGTTGTTTGTTTGTAAAAACATATCCTGGAAGACTAATGTATAAAAGCTAAATAAATAATGAATTCTTAAAATTAATTAACTATAATATTATTACAAAGTTTCTGTGACTTTTTTATATGATGCACACAAAATAAGCAACAATGAATTACTTGAATTTTCATATAAAAAAACTGATCCTTACCTTCTCTTCGGCCTTCTTTTTTTCTGAAATAAAATAAAAGAAATACATATTTGTTTACATAAACCATAATTCTTCATCAGTGCAAACTTATTACAAATTTGGCATGACATGTAAAACAAAAATATATTTTACATTATATCCACATTGTAGCAATATTACCAGCTTATCTTATAAAACATAGATATAACTCAATATTTCACTTATGCCCACAAATTTTCTTACTAATTTTAGACAAAATCAATTCAATCCTCTTATTAAAACATACCTGCTTATAGTTGCTTTTGACAGATAATAAGGAATTTATACAGTACTATTTCTACACCAATTCCAAAGATATTATTTATTGATTTAGAGCTGAATATTTGTTATTTTTAATAAATATGCCAATGTCATACTTTGCAGATATCCCACAAATAACATCTTGAACTTTGTTCTCACACATTAAAATTCAGTGACATCTTAAAATAAAATAACTTATTTTGATTCAGATATATCTTATTCCACTGAACATCTAACAATATTTCTGAAAAAAAAATTGTCATAAGATGGGAATAAATTTTAGTCAAACATAAAGACAATTTTCACTTAAATTATATAAATTCAATTCATTTAAATTAAACTGAGTCAAACACACATGATATATGTCATGGACACAACTACCAATAATTCTCTGATTAATAGTTTCTCACTTCTTAATCACAAGCACATTCATCAACTAGAAATGCACAAAACAAATAAAACATAAAGAATTACTGTAACTTCAGACAACTAACACATTTGTATGTAGTATCTGTGAATTCTTAAGAACTGATGCAAAGAATTGATCATTCATGGACAGAGTAACAATTTTATTCTTTCAAGAGATAAATGCCTTTATATTTGAAAAATTATGAGGACTTGAAAGTAAAATAAGAAAGTTCAATCAAGTATAAATTAAGTAAATATTTTTAACAGTAAAGAATTTCTGAAGAAACTTACCAGTAACTTTCAAATCAGCTGAAGATTCTGCTTTTCCAAATTCATTTGATATGACCACCTTGTAGGATCCTGTGTATTCTGTTTTGCAACTTGAAATGCGTAGTCTGGCATAACTTCCATCAAATGATGTTTTGATTTCCTGAGATTCTCTGACAAGCTGTGCATTCCTAAAATTATTTTTATAAATCAGTCAACTGTTTTAACAAGTCAAAATTTACATATGTATGAAAATTAAGAACAGTGCATTACAGAAAACAAATATTTTTTGAAGAGCAACTCACATCTAGAACTGAAAATATAAGCAGTATCGAAGTTCCAACAGCAATGACATGGAAAATTTAACTCTATCTTAATCACATGAATGTAGATTTGAGATTCTATTCAACATCATAACATAAAACAATCTTTAAGTTCACAATTCTATGATGAATTTTGACTAATACATTGACTATTCACTAAGTGCATGCATTTTATCATTTTGTATCTTATTTGAAAATGTTACTAATTTGACTGAACTGATGCAGAATCATCTTGAATGGTGGGCTTAGGTATTAATGGTTATTAATGTTCATGTTCTCTAACAAAGATACTATGATTATAATGACGATGACAATGACATGATGGTGGTGGTGTTAATGATGATGATAATTTCAAAAATTACAAACATGTGGAGGTAAACAACCATGAACACTGTACACCTTAATTTTATTTTTTTTTACACCAGGAGACTATATTTACCATTTTTCCTTTACTTTCAGACTTGTACATTTACATATGTATGTTCAATTTAATTTGCTGATAGCTGTAAAGCTAATACTTAGCAGCTAGCTTGTACATGCATGTGAATTATTGACATTATATCTAGAATAAAGTTTCTGAAGTGTAAACATTCCTGAAGAAATATGCCACATTTTGCAAAGTAAAATTCCATTCATAGACGTTTCATAAATAAGAAACAAGCATGTATGAATTATTTTACATAAGTAACATGACAAGCAGACAGAGAAACAGAAGTGTTTGGACACTTTTCATGAAATTTCAAGAAAAAAATTCCTTCTTCTCTTTCCCCTGCCCCCCCAATTAAGTCATTTTGTGGCAGAGGTTCATTTCATATGATTTTGTCTGCATTATATTTCATTGGCAGCACACTTCAATCCCTTTCATAAGGCGTAAATCTGTAATATAACATACCTGTACCAGACAACAGTTGCTTTCTTGTCT